CTCTTTTTTTTTTACTATTCCATACATACATACACGTTAAGTTGAATGACTGCAGTGCGTAATAACTTGTCATTACAAAAAGTGGATTCCATTTATTCTTTCATATGATAGAACCCTGAGTTAGAAGTTAACAAATCCAACAGAATCTGCCAGTATGATGCAGTTGGCACAAGACAGAACCTTTCTTGATTAACTGGCACTAATCAGATCTTTACTATCTTATGTAAATTATGCCTGACCGAATCCTGCATTATGTGATCTAACCAGCATCTAAGAGAGCGCCCAGTGTTATGTTAGATTTAGATGCCACATCGCTGTGTAATCTAGTTCACAGTCACTTAACTTTGCACCTGATCCCCACATTATTATTTCACTGAAATTCAACAGAGTTCTGCCCTATCACATATAAAGTCAAGAGAAAGTCACAAACTGTGCCAAACAATCCCACAGTGTCACAAAATTTGCACCTATCAGATCCTAGCTGTGTGCTTTAACTTGCACGAAATAGAGCTGTAATTCTGAACTTGCACCCAGTAGAATCCCTCCATGTCAGGCACCTCACACCTAACCAAACCCTGCTTTTTAACATTACTTGCACCTTGCACACCCTGACTGGGTCACGTAGCTTGCCAAGAAACTCTGTATCTTGTATTTTGCACCTTACAGTGCGCAATCATGTCTCTTAAATTGTACATGACCGAACCTCGAGTTGTGTAGAATGCACTTAACAGGACTCGAGGGTGTCAAATAAATTGCACCTACCAAACCCATTTACAGTATTGAATCCCTCACCCACCCAAATCCCTTCACAGTTACATCTAACCCCTCTGCCTGCTTTAACATTATTACCTTTTGCCACTAACTTGCACTTTTTAAGACAAAAGCGTCTGTGTCGGGAGAGCTGGAAATGGGGGTCAGTCTCCTATGGGATTCATGCACTAGGTCAGTAAGGCATTAAGGGCCATTGTTAGTTACCATGCTATGTACAGAGATGGGCTTGTGTTTTTCATAGCATTGTGTAATGAATCTGGGCCTAACTAGATAGACTCATATTTAACGGATTGTAAATCCTGAAATAATGGTTTCTAGTTTGTTTTTATGAAATAAAATGTTTTTGGTTTTGTTTGTTTTTTAAATGAGTCTTTGTCTTTATTTTTAAAAGAATACACACTGGTTTATAAACACACCTGTTAGCAATACAGGTTTTGCTAATTAATTATTTCACATGAACAATGTTAGGATTTCACCGCAGATGGCTCAAGTGTTATTAAAGGGAGTATTTAAATAAAATTACTAAATTTTATATATTTAATGCATTCAAAATTTGTGCTACATTTGTAAAACTCTGGTTCCTCATCTATTTTAGGCTACAATTCAGATAATTGTCTGTCAACCTATTACATTCAAAATATAATGTTACATAGTTACATAGCTGAAAAGAGACTTGCGCCCATCAAGTTCAGCCTTCCTCACATATGTTTTTGCTTTTAATCCAAAAGAAGGATCAACTGTTACATTTGGGACATTTGAATTGGCATCGCTGGCTTCTCCAGGGAGAAGAGAACGCTCCTTCCCTCATTGCGCATGGTGCATGTGCACACAGCATCTTCACTATGGACAACATTGCCATAAGGCAACTCGGAACTAAGTTTGATTGAAAACCCCAGTGTGTTTTTATAGCTTTTTATTTTTTAAAGTTGCCACTACCGTGTTTTCCCGAAAATACATCCTACCCCGAAAATAAGCCCTAGCTGGATTATCGGGGTGGGCTGCAATATAAGCCCTACCCCAAAAATAAGACCTAGGCAGGGCTCTATAGAGAGCGCTCAGACGGCTGCCGCACTGCCTCACCTGCCCTTCCCTGTAGCGTGGCCGAGCTCCGGTCCGCGACCCGGCCGGACTGACAGGAAGTGCACACTGGGTGTGCACTTCCTGTCAGTCCGGCCGGGTCGCAGACCGGAGAGGAGCTCGGCCACGCTACAGGGAAGAGCAGGTGAGGAGAAGATTGGAGAGGGGGGGAGGGAGTATTACAGGGAGTGGGGGAGAATATTACAGGGAGGGAGGAGACTATTACAGGGAGGGGGGAGAGTATTACAGGGAGGGAGGGGGGAGAATATTACAGGGAGGGAGGGGGGAGAATATTACAGGGAGGGAGGGGGAGATATTACAGGGAGGGAGAGAGTATTACAGGGAGGGAGGGAGGGGAGAATATTACAGGGAGGGGGAGGTGAGGGTCTCTGGGGGGGTTACACAGCGCGGACACCGGCTGACAGACTGGCTCTAAGCCCTACCCTGAAAATAAGCCCTAGTGTGTTTTTTGTGACTAAAATTAATATAAGACCCGGTCTTATTTTCGGAGAAACACGGTATAAGCCACTCATAGAAATGAGTGTGCTCAGGATACTCTAAGCACCATGCACTTTACTGAGATAGAAATTAGTTATGCTGTTTTGACTTACCCTTTTGTGTTTTCTAGTGAAGGGAAATTGGGGAAATAATGTCCCAATTAGAGGGTGAAGGATACCAGTCTGATGCTCTCAACCTGGGTCTTCCTTGTTGAGAATTATTATCACATCATGAAAATAGGAACCCCTTAATCATAAGATACTGTTTGTTAAATTACGTCCTTACTACTGTTACTTGCATCACCAAAGACATGCGTAGCCATGACTGGGTTTGTAGAGTGACTACACAGTACTTATGTGACACAATGTCACTTGGAGGGCTAGTATGCAGGCACGTTGATGAGCATCCATCATTGCTTTCACTCTGCAAGATACATTCAGCAGGGACCAATCGGAAGGACGCTGGATTCTGAATGATTCTAAGTATAGACACTGTATCTAAATTCCCCAATGATGGTTACTACAAGAAATTACCATGTAGCTTTAAACTAAGTAATCTTTCAAGCACAATTTGCCAACCACATGAAAATTGAGTATTGCCACCTGACAAGCTAATGCAAGTGTAGTGCATATCGCACAAACCTATAGCCAGTAGGAGTTTATTTATTAAATATTTTTGCTGTAAATGATGTAAAAAGGATGCCTACAACGCCACAACAAGCTTGCATAGGCACAGTAAATTCAAAAAATTTAGAAACGCTTATGTGGCATAAATTTGGCTTGTGTTTCTGCAAAGACGGTAATATTCTCGATTCTTCACGGAACTTATGCAGCGTGCCACCACTCAGCTCTGCAGTCAGGCTCCGCTCCCCCCTTGTTTTGTTTTTTATTTTAATAGAAATGAGTTGAATCTTTAATAATACTATACAGAACACGTTGAAAACATCAAATGTATGCAAATGTCACAATAGCAAATCAAATTGCAGTAAAACAATAAACAAGGTAAATAAGTAGACAGTGGTAATACAAATAGAGGCAGTCACCAGAAAGTCTCAATAAGTATGCACTAACGAGTTGGAGTAAGGTGAAATAAACTGGCACTGTTCATCTGAGTATTACCAGCAATCAAACTATCTGACCCCTGACCAATCAGATTTTTGCCAGAATCACTTAACTACAACTGCCCTATTAAAAGTTTGCAATGACATTCAAACTGGCATTGAACAAGGAGACCTAAATGGGAGCAATTTTCTTTGATTTTGCCATGGTTTTTGACACAGTAGACCATGGCATTCTACTGCAAAAACTCAGGTATTGGTGATCGTCCCCTAACCTGGTTTCGATCATATGTAACGGATTGATCGCAATATGTGTCCATTTTTGACAGCGACCCCTCCCTCTCCCAGTCACGTGCGGTGTTCCACAAGGTTCCATATTCGCCCCCTACTATTCACATTACTCATAAATGATCTGTCTAATGTCTGCAAAGACTCAAATGTATGCAGATGACACAATAATCTACACAAGCAAACCCAATTTACCGCAGCTTGAGGCTGTATTCCAAGACCAGTTCAAAGTGGATCGCAAAAAACAAACTTTCCTAAGCACTGACAAAACTGTCATAATGATCTTTGGAACAGTACCTAAATTCCACAAATTGCAAAATTCCCATCTATCTATAAAAACAAAATCAAATAACACACTGACCACAGTCCATTCTTTCAAATACTTGGGTATGTTGCTAGACCCCAATCTCTTTTGGCCTCTACATAGAAAAATTCTCATCAAAATTTTATCCAAAACTAGGTGCCCTGTACAGAAACAAATCCTGCCTAAGCCCTACAGTAAAGGAAAAGATTGTACAGCAAATGCTAATGCCAGTCATTAACTATAGAAATGTAGTGTATGCAACTGCACCACAAACCCACCTTCATAAACTTACTACATTGTATAACTTGTTCTGCTGCTTTGTGCTACAATGTAATTACCTGGCCCACCATTGTGACATGTTAAGAGGTTAATTGGCTGTTGCTGGAATCCAGACGCACCCTTCATCTTTCCAGCTTTGTGTTTAAGAGCTTTTCTGGGAAGCTCCCACTCTACCTGAACAGAATGCTCTCCCCGGCTATCCCATCTCCTATAACCTCCCATCCAATACCAGCACTTTATTTAGTCTACCTCAATTCAAAAAGAAAGCAGCTTGATCCGCATTTTCCTACAGAGCCTCGCAATTATGGAACGACCTCCCGCATACTTTCAAATCTTCCCCAGTCTAAAATCCTTTAAGAGATCCCTCTCTACATATCTCAAAACAGAATGCACCATGATTGATTTATATATTTCTTACCTGTTCTATGTTACATTTTGTATATATGTTGTGTATTAATATTGTTTTTTTTGTATTTTAATTTACCCTATTATAATGATGCAATGCTTTGTGGATCCAGGACAAGAGAAATCTCAATGTATCATTACTCGTAAAATATTTTATAAATATATCTGTTTATTGTTAATATTCATAATTCATGGCTTAATTCTTTAAAAATAAATTACAAATACAAGAATTAAAGGAACAATCTAATCACCATAACCACTACATTATATTGTAGTGGTTATGGTTCTAAAAGGCTGCTGGTACCAACCACCTGGTATTTCATCATAACATTTTCTGGTAGTTTGACCAAATTCAGAGGTCCCTGAGGTTCTTGGCTGGGCCCAAGCTGGCAGGATGCTAATACATAAGTTCCACTTGCATATTTGCCAAATCAAGTTTGTCCATTTTTAGAGATTATGAATAGACTAAGCATGTCCGCTGTTAGGTTAAGTCTATAATGACCTTCATAATATGGATTCCTGGTTTTTGGTCAAACTGCTCAAACAGTTTGATCCAGAAATAGGGGAGGCACCTACAGCCTTCAAGTACAATAACCACTAATCCGTGTGTGTTTTTTATGGTGTTAATAAAGTATAAATCCCTTAAGAACATGATCTTGCAGTTTCAGCTATTAACCATGGGGTGTCAGCAAAGAATTGATGCTTTAAGAAAAGCAATTAGTATATGTCATAAAAAGCACAGTTAAAGTGACTCTTTCATACAAAATAGTGATACATTGTGCTGGCTATACAGCCCATACATTAAGATACAGAATTTCAGAATTTAAAAGCACACTTCTGTTTGTTGGTGCCAGTTTGCTGAAATATTAGCGAAATCCAACAAGTATTTTTGTAAAAAAACATTATAAATAAGCAAAGGAGAATCACTTAAATCTGCACATTAACTGTAAATGTTATCAGCGCAATGTAAATATCCAATTTTTGCATGTACAGGGTGGGCGAAAATTTACAGTAGGATTTGAGGCGTCAATAAGTTTGTTTTTATGAATGAACCAATTTCAATGATATTACGTACAATGAATGCTTAACGCATGGAGATTTGTTTGACTAAGTACGGAAGATGACAGCTTTTCATCTTCATGTATTGTTTATTACATTAGTTCATGTTTGAGGCTCTAGCACTCAAATTTCTGCACAGATATTCTCCTTGAACTGCTCAAGTGTACGCGGTTTGTTCACGTACACCAGATCCTTCAGATATCCCCACAGAAAGTAATTGGGAGTCGAAAGGTCGGGTGAAGGTGGCGGCCAATTAATCTGGGAATTTATTCAAATTATGCACTCGCTGAACAGTTGTCTTCGTTTTAAAATTTAAATTCCACTATTTTTACTACTTGTTCCTTTGTGAAATAATTAATGAATCTCCCAATATTATGTACCTGCAACAAACAAATTTAACTACTAACAAATAAGTTGTTTATCTGACAAATTCTTCTCTGAATTTTGGTCCACCCTGTGACATCCACCTGCATTTTAGTCAAGAGTTTCTTTAAAGGTATACATCTGCTTTTTGAAGTGGTCATGGTGGTAGGGGTCTGGATGTTTCTGCTTGGAACACTGCTCATCCTGAGATATTGGCAGTTTTGTGGCGGGAGCAAGTTTCACCCCTGACACGCATGATATTGGCAGCCCAGAACTCTCTTTCCAACATGCTTGCTTTCTGGAAAAGACGTAACTGATTCTTCCTCACTGACACAGTCGGCAAGGTAGAAACTCTTGTCTCCCATCCCTCCTTCCTACACTGAGCGAAGCCTTCACTCCCATTTGTCCTCCATTCACCAGCTCAGAGATCGCACTTGCACCCTGAGCTGGTAAAATGGTCCAAATAAAATCTTCTATATGACAAGACTTTGATTGGATCTCGGCGCGGCTCCCATGACATTAGACACGGCTGCGCCGACAGCTTCAACCAGCACTGAATTAAACTAAGTTAAACTTATTTTAAAAATGCTCTTTGAGCCAATAGTGTATTATTCTATTATTAATGAAAAAGGGTTGGAGAAACCCTCTAACCTCCTATGCTGAGATTATAATTATCATTCTTAGGAATTTGTTCACAAAAGGCTGAATTGGTTTACATTAAACAAACAAATTAAATATTTATACCAAAATCTGTGAGCTGGACAATGGGTATAAAATGCCTATTTTCAGTTATTCAGTTGGGCTCTTAGTTTTCCATAATTCACTGATGTGTTAATAACTTTTTAGAGCAGCTTTATTTCAGCATTCTTTAACAGCTAGAATGTGTGAGATGTGATAGTTCTTACTGAACAGGAAGAGGTCATGTCTCCCTTATCATGTGAACGAGGAATGCATTATCCTGCTGTAATTAGGTGTATTAAATCGGAATTTGTTTTAGATCTTCTGGCACTGAAAGCACTTGCTGCTAACCCTAACAGAGGAGAATATTTCATAACATGTATTATGTGTGAGTAGCTTGCCGTGTGTGAATCTAGATTGTGTGTATGTATGACTAGTTTCTGTGCGTGCATGTGTGTGTTTTTGACTGTGTGTATGTAAGTAGAATGCTTCATTCCGCAGTAGCTGAAAAGGCAGGGAATAGCAGCCCCATCCCGCCATGTAAAACAAAATCTTAAAAAAATATAAGAAAGAGAAAAAAAGGTGATATATAAAGATACTGAACAATAAGACTGTGTATTGTGGGAATGTAATTGGGGTTCTGGAGTCATCAATTATGATATCTGCAGAATCGTATTTGTCAATTTGAAACTGGATAGAAGGAAGGTGCGAAAAGACTGGGCTGGTGCACAATTTGTCTATAAAGAGGGTGTTTATGTGCACTAGAGCCAATACGCAGAACACTATAGAAAGCAGTCATGTATGAACTGAGACATTCAAACCCTTTGTGCGTGCTTTTATACATGCTTGCACTGGACTTTTCTCTATTATGTCTAAAAGCTGTTGACTTTACTGTTGAAAAAATGTCCAGTTAAAGGAACTCTATAGGGTCAGGAACACAAACATGCATTTCTGACCCTTTAGTGTTAAAACCACCATTAAGGTGACTACCCCCTTAAAAGTTAATAAAATGTACCTTATTTCCAGCACCATGCTGGCCCCACCCTTGCTGACATCAATAGAATGTATGATTTTTAGCCAACCCAATGCTTTCCCATAGGAAAATCATTGGATTAGCTAAAATAGTCAAGGAGTCGGGGCGGGAGCTTGGCCAATCAGCATTTCCTCATAGAGATGCATTGAATCAATGCATTTCTATGAGGGAAATTCAGGGTCTCAATGCATAATAGCCATATGAGGAGTGGCCACTTAGATATATCCATAGGGAGTAATGTAAACACTGCCTTTTCTCTGAAAAGGGCAGTGTTTGCATGAAAATGCCTGAAGCTAATGAATATACTAACAGAACTACATTAAGCTGTATTTGTTCTGGTGGTGACTGTAGTGTCCCTTTAATCTATTGTATTGAAATTAATAATTAGTACAATTACAAAGTAGATTCAATGCTTTAGGTTGATAATCCCCGCAATTTAAACCTTCATTAATTATTTCTTGTTCATTCTCATTGTGTCTCCTCAGTGAGCGATTTTTCCATTTTGTTTGTGTGCCGCCTATAATGAATTCATCTGTTGTTTGACAAATCTGATCATTTTCACCGACTCTACTTTAGAACTTTATAACAATGCAATATGTATATGTGTTAATTGAGAACTGTGTATTAATGTTGTTTGTTTATTTAGTGCATTGTTCGAGGAATGTTCTTTGAAACTGGGAGAACTGGGAATCTAGAACGCCTTCCACTCAAAACAGGTGTGTGATGACCGATTGACATTGCCATGTGTAATCACAATCTTGTCTCTTCCAGGCACAGCGTGTAATATATGCTTCCTGAGAACAGGCTGGTATATAAACGGATGGATCATCATGCTGCTGTACTCGCTAGAAGCACAGATGGAGTTTTGACAATTAAACCCAAATGTGATGGTTCCATCTCTTGTTTTTTTTCAAGGCTCAAAGTGTCACCTTGTATCTCTTGATTAGTCAGCTGCGAATGTTTGTTTCAAGGAAACAGCAAGTTCCATTGAGCTGTGCAATAGAATAATTTAAGATATTCCTAGCCTACAGCGTCAGAAAAAAAAGATTTTATCGCAGACACAAGGCTGTATTGTACGTGTTAAAAGCTAAGGAAAACATAATACACAATATCAGAGTTTTCCGCTTCCTTTTCTTTTACTTTTTTGATTGTGTATTAACATTTTCTTTTGTTTTTTGCATTTTCTTATTTTGTCACCCATTTGGTTATTCTGTAAACCTACCACTCGTTTTCTGTCTATTTACACTAGTTTCTGCAGCTTCCCTGTTGCCTTTTCTCTGTTTGCATTCTCCATTCAATGTTGACTGCTTCTCGTTGAGTCTCCTGCTGATTTATTCCCTAGTTCTAGGCCTTGAGCACAGCGGCCCTCTTGTTTTCATGTTTCATGCTCTGACTGTGGGTGTCACAAACTCACCATTACCCGGCGCCCGCGATGCTCCACTCCTCCGGCGACGCGGGCAGACCGCATTGCGTGACTGCATTGCCTCAGTCCTTGGGTTGCGAGGCCCGAAAGCTCCATGTGGCCGCGCGGCCTGAATATAATACTTACCTTCGGTCCCACGGACGGCTCCCTCTGCTGGTTCGTGGGACAAACTGTAACCTCTAAAAATAAAAGATAAAGCCATGATGTCATTACCTTAAAGGGACTACGTCATCTAGGCGACCCAATGCTGTTTGGGCTCGCAGAGATGCCGTGGACCAATGGGAATTCTTTTGAGCCTAGTTAAGGCTTGTTTTAGCCTCCTTTCTTTGCCCTATCGTAGTTTCTGTTTGGATCCTCGTTTAGTGCTCCTGGTGATTCCCTTGTGATTTCCTGTGTTTGACCTCTGCTTCGTATTTGACTTCTGATTTCTGGTATCCTGGCCCCGGCTTTGTCTTGACTCTGAGTATTTCTGTTATTCCTCCTTTGATTTATCTTGACTCTATTTCTTGTTGTAACTATACGTTACGACCATCCATTCAAAGGCTCTGTATTATGCCTTTCGGATCCACCTTTTGTGGGTTTCCTCTTTCCTGTGTGTTGGGGTACGACTCTCGTGACAGTGGGACGTCTGTAGTTTTGCGAGTCAGTCTTGTTTCTCAGAGCTGAGTGCAGATTCTGTTTTTCTCTTGTTCAGGCCCATTACACTATCTATCAAACATTTTGAAGATAGCGACTTATATTGGTCAGTGCTGCCCAAACTTTGCGGTGAGCCCCATGGCTTACTCTTCCAGCTGCATGTATCTATATTCAGCTACATACCTACAACCTAGCTGCTCCCTGGTGGGCTGCCGCCCCTGTCTGGGTCTGCAGCGCTAGGCGAGCGGCTCTCAAGCCGCCCTCCCCCAGCACCAGGCTGATCCTCAAGGCATCCAAAGGTGGGGGTGCCGAGAGGATCCCTGTCATAATTGATTTATAGGCTACTCCAGTGGTTCCCAAACCTTTTAGGTTCAAGGCTCATAAAATATATTCAATATTTTTCCAAGGCGCCCAAAGTCAAAACAAAGTTTTAGGTTGTATATACTGGCTCTATAGTATAATGTTGGTGCTTGTATATAATTTTAGTGTTTTAATACAGGGGTGTGTTTGTATGTAGTGTTTGTATGTAGTGTTTGCGTTTGATTGCAGGGATGTGTTTGGATGTAATGTTTGCTTTTTTAAATTTTTAAAAATTCTTTATTTTTCTCATGCCATTACTTGTACAAGATGGTATAAGCCACAGGTCACAGAGAAACATAGAAGTGTTGGCAGTATTTAGCATATCTTACAATGGTAGAGACGAAAAGTTGAGTAAGTTTGTGACGTGTGTAAGTGTGGGATGAGGTTTTTTATTATAAGGGAAGTTGAACTTATAGTGACCATATAGTGTTACCCCTCATAGTGGACATAAGGACAATTATGAAACCTTTGAGTAGAGCCATCACTCATGGGGGCATCCCCTCTCATGTATAGTAGCATGAGAAGAGGTAGACCATGGACCCAGCAGGGTCAAATGGGAGGGGGTGGGAGGGTTTGGTTGCTTGTAAGTCTTGTATGGGTAATGTTTACTTTTAAATGCTGATGTACATGTGTGTGTAGTATTGGTGTTTGAGTGAATGGGTGTGTTTGAATATAATTTTGGAGTTTGAAAGGAGGGGTGTGTTTTTATTTTATGCTGGTGTTTGACTGCTTGGATGTATCCACATACACACATTTATAACCACATACTTACACAGCTATACATACACATTAACACACAGATACATATAAATACACTGACACATACACACAAATTCATATAGACACCGACACATACACACACTGACACATACACACACCATGGCATAGATACATACACTGACATAAACCTAACACAGAGATGCACATAAACATGCACAGATGCACATCCTGACATCCTGTGGGCAAACTCACAGATACACACACTGACATATATATATATATATATATACACTTTAAAGTATTTGCATGTTATATATTCACAAAATGGCTCTCAGACATTGTAGTAAAATAGAACTTCTCTTTACTTCACACACACACACACACACATAATGACATAACACAAGAGAGACTAACAACAGAACAAGTGCATAACTTCACTATGCTGCCATCTACTGGAAGGTGGATTGCATAAACCCCAATACACAACACTCCAACCCCCAAGACCTCAAAGTCTTTGAGATAACTGGGAGGTTTAATATTTTGTCTTGGGCGCCCGAAAACCATGTTTGGAACTGCTTTACCTGGACCTTCAGTTGTGCCCATCCCTTCTTCCTGTGCTCTGTCAGATGGACCACACTGAACTGGCTCTTCAACAACAACTCCTGGAGAACTGAGACCTGTATTATCCAGTGGTTCAACATCATCTGGTATCACAGAAAACCCAGTATGAATGGGACCGGCAGCAGGCACAATCTCATCATTCCGTTCCCGAATCTGATCAACATGCCTTCGATATATTCTACCATCAGGAATTTGTACTTTATATGACAAAGGTCCTGTGGCCACAAGTACTTTTGCAGGTATCCATTTAGGCCCAGAAACATAGTTCCTGACATAGACAGCACTGTCAGGTGCCAATACTCTCACAGTAGAAGCATTATAGTTCTTATTGAATTGCAATTCTTGCTTCTCTTGTAACTCAGTTGTCAAATCAGGATGTAAACTGTGGGGATATTTATGGGATAATAATAGTAACAGTTGAGAATTGCCCACTAATTCAATTCTCAGATCCCAAAGAACGTTTATCGTGTTAAGTGAAATGTATACCATATAAATAATATTCACAATGTATAAAAATAGATTTTATTTATGATGACAAATTAATAATAATAATATTATATGTAACATGTATAACAATAATCAATGAATATTCAGTATAAAATTATATGCAATACAAAGAAATGGGTATTACGTTACAATGGCTAAATAGCATTTCCTGTCAAGAATTATTTATGACTATCTTTAACACAGGCTGAAAGTGAAACTTTTCACAGCGAAGAACAGAATTCCTCAGAATGCAGCGTAAGGTCGTAAAGTTTAGCAGACAGTTAGAATAACCCTTTCAATGCTGGCTAGATCTCCTAGGTAGTTAAGATCTATTCTTATGTAATTTTTAAATAAAATAACATTTAAACCAGTTTAAATTCATTTTCTTAAACCATCCAATAAGAGAATCTACATATTATATAAGCAGATTTTAATTTGTCTAAAAGATATCTATCTTAAATTAGAGCAAATCAATACACCTGGATAAAAACAGCGGTATGCTAACACATGATAATATCACATCAATATATAATTATTCTTAATTCCACCTGCAGAATGGAATATTTATAACTATATATTCTTAGTTAACTAAGATTTCTTAATATGGAAATCTGACCGTGCTTTATCCAGTCATATATATAATGCTATTAATACATTTTAATTAATTTAATTTAATTAAATGAAACCAGTATAATTACCAGTTGAGTAGATATTTCATCCGATTGGTAGTCTCTCTGCATGGAGGTGTTGGTTAGAAAGTCAGTAAATTCTAAGTGTTAGAGTTTTAGGAGTAGAGTGTTAGTCTCAGATGTTGTCCGAGTTGGAATCCCCAAACTTCCAATTCCTCTCTCCTCTCCTTTGCATATCTTGCATCTGCCTCCTCTCTCGTATTTCTTATCTTCCCTTTGTCTTAACTTTTAAAGGGCCAGACTCTCTGTACGTCATCAGTTGATAACCCAATAGAAGCACTAGAGGTGTGGTTATCTTCCAGATCGCAAATTAGTTATTTGGTCTGTAGAGGGCAGTCTTGTCCCACTAAACATACCTATCCAGGAAAGAGTTAACTTTTCCTGGTGGCTATTTTGACGTCATTTTGGCCTATCTAGATAGTGGCTATAACTTACGTATCCTTCAAAGATCAAAGGGGTTCTTAAATTTTGTCCAGACTATGTGTCTGCAAATCTGCTATAATTTCTGATATGACAGATCATGAACTAAGTTTACCCTTTTCCATACAATGGTACCTTATATGTATAGACAGTTAAATATTAAATTATTTAATCTTCTCTGTCACAATTGTCTGGGTTTAGATTTGATTATATTCCATTAGCATTAGACAGTCTGTCCAACCCCCTTCCTTATCACTTGTCTTGTATATACTATGCATTCCTCAGCTCTGGGAAAGTGGTTAGCTTACAGATAGAAATACTGTGTCTCTTTGTTAACTTGAAATAACAAAATGGAGTCTGGTCTGTTCAGAGTGACTCAGAATATACACTTTTAGTTTCTATCATAGCACAAAATGTCTGCCGATATAAATACTCTGACATAACCCCCCTTTAGTGCATTTCATAGCCAAAATTAATTTAGCTTATGAATAAGCACTATAGAAGTTACCAGACATATTGTGCAATCACATCATTTCTAACATAGTACATTATTTTCATTTGACAAATGTCTTTGGGAGTTACATATGGTATGGTCAATAAAAAGCAAATCTCCATACGCTCCGGATCAATTAAGAGAGGTATAGCGCTCCCCATCTCAAAGGCCAGATTTAATTGCATAGGCTCAATTGTCTCTCCATCCACATTGGCAAGCATCGCATGAACAATATCCTTGGATACAAAATACAGAGGTATGCGTCCCCCTGCCAATTCGATCATTCCAGTTTGCACTTCGTCAAGAAAAGCAAGTGTGTGGAACAGTATTGGGTCATGCAGAAATAAAAGTTCACGCTTGAATAAGTCATGACTTTGGTGCAACTCAGTGGATTTGGCAATTAACTCCGAATGCAAATTTGTTGTAACAACTGTGTCTTCCACAATAGTTAACACGTCTTGGAGAAGTGTTCTTTGCTGGTTTATCACCTGATGAATATCGTTAATGTGTTGCTTTAGCGCATAGATTTCCATATCCAGCTTTTGGACAGTAATAGAGTTGGCTGCAGACATTCCAGTTGCGACAACTGCACCGACAGTGGCACAAACTAATGCAACAATTATAGCGGTGAGGAACCTTTTGGGTCGGTTGCTCATCGGAATAGAACTGGATACAAATGGTTTC